AGCCAACAAGAAAGTGAAAAGGTAAAAAAAGCGAAATTCCTGGCCATCTCTATGCAGAGCTGTTTCCCACATGAAAGGCCGGACCAAAGGAATTCCTTGCTTACCCAATACCCCTCAGAGCGAAAATCATGGTCCACCTCTATCCGGGATGCATCCCACATGAAGGCGGGGAAACAAGGACCTTGCTACCCACATTGCCCCCAGAGGCCAACAAGAAAGTGAAAAGGTAACAAAAGCGAAATTCCTGGCCACCTCTATCAGAGCTGTTTCCCCATGAAAGGAGGGGACCAAGATCTTGCTACCCAAATACCCCTCAGAGCGAAAATCTTGGCCACCTCTATCAGAGCCCATGAATGGGAAAAGCCCTCAGATTTGACTGACTTTCGCTTCTTGGCTGGCAAAACCTGGACCTTGCCCACATCAGACACTGATCTGCCATAATGCTCTGATGATCTGTACCCTATGCCAACCAACAGTTACATTGCTCCACAGAACACCAATATAATCACCATTACTGACCATCAGCCCACAGCTACATGCAGCCCTCAGCCCATGGAAACCCTTTGCCAAATTCAATCCCCATCCAATCATGCCCTGGGCCCAATACAACCTCAAACCAGGCGGCTAAGCATCAGTTACTAACCCAATGCGAAACCCTCAGCCAAATCCAACCCTCAGCCCTGCAAAGCCCTCTACCCAATCCGACCCTCTGCCCAGTGTAACCCTCTGCCCAATCCAACCCTCAACCCAGGCAACTATTTATTGACCTTGTTTGCACCATTCCAACAACATCGGTCAAATCCTGATGGGATTATGAATAGGTTTATTTACAAGGGCAAAGTGATCCAAGAAGCGAAAGTCAGTCAGGTCTAAGACTCAGATGACCTTTGTTCACACACAAAGGTTGTCCCAGTCTTAGATTTGACTGACTTTTGTTTCTTGGCTGGCTTTGCCTTCGTAAATGTGCCTCGTTGTAATGTCATTATGATTTGACCGAGAAACTCCAACACAGTCTACATTAGCAATCAACCAATGAATGATGATGTAAATGTATCCAATATGTTATTGGTGACATTCACATCTTCGTTGAGTTGGCAGCGGTTGTTGATGTAGACTACAAGAGAAGCGACTCCAGGAATGATTGCCTGTCCATAAGTTAAATGCTGTCCCTAGGTAGCTACGCTTGACAGAACTGTGTTCTATCATCATGAAACATATGTTTGATCAGCTACTAGCAAGTCAAAAGACCTATTGGTAGAGGAGTGTAATGATAAGAATTGTGGGGTACATCTGATGTGGTCAACCAACCTCAGCTCGCATTGAGTTTCAGATCAAGGTGGCTGACCAGGTATTTACAGTTGTGGAGGTATGGACTAGAGAAGATCTCATAATGACATCATGGAGTTTGTTCACAATATACAGTGGTTGAACTCGTAAAAGAGTATGTGGATGCTGCATTTGCATAAAAAAACCTCGCGCGTGCGACTATGTCTTGCACTGTGGCAATATCACATCTTTTGTACCTCATAGTCCTTTGTAATGTGTCTCACAAATGTGAATAAATGCCTGATGTCAGATGATAAATTAAATCCTAGTCTTCCCGTTGCCCGCATTACATTATACATCAAGCCAAAGAATGAAGGCATTAGCTGCCATTGAGGTTCATCTGGTATATGAGCACTTGCATGGCAGTTTTGCGTTCCCAAGTTCATGCAATGGTGGCGCCAAGGTGCTATTCACAAAATTGATTAATACAGTACATCTACATCCATCGCTCATTCCACAATATCTTCTAGTTGGGTCATGGGAAATGGTCTCCGTGGACGTGTGGGAGGGGGGACTCTCTTGTTTTTCCTGGCCATGGTCATTTTCTTCTGAAGTTCCCGCCGCTTCTGTCTCTCTGTCTTTCTCCGCAGATTGCCATCAGTGTCGAAGGGTTGTGAGTCCATGAGGTCGGCTGCAAATATGCGTTTACCCTTGATCAGCTTCATCGTTCGACGTGCTTTTGGGGCCCTCTTCTGACTCTCTCCTCCCCTTCCAATACAATCGATCTTGTAGAATATTGGATTGGTCGTGAACACAATTGATTCGTTCTTTTGCGTCCACACTCTTGCTCCGCTAGCAGGAAGGCAGTGAAGTTCCGAAAATACCTCACGTAATCCCTGTTTCAGCAACTGTTGCTGATCCTCATCCATCGCCTTCATCGTCCTGTGAAATTCTGCAATGTATCCATCGCCCTCCCAAAGCCCAGACCACTGAGTATTGTCCTTATGGGCGGCATCAGGGTCGGGAAAGAACAGAGTGCACCTGTCAAGGAAGGGCCTCGACTTCGGACCCATGCGACCAGGAGTGACGCCCGTACTATCATTCAGCCCGGCATTGCATGCTTCAAATGCGACTGCAGCGAGAGTGTCATCGATGCTGGTGATTGTCCAGCACTTCATGGCCTCTTGAAGCGAGTTTGGGTGAGGTCTGATGCCCTTGAAGATTTCGGGTGTGAGCATCAGCCACATGTGCCTAGTGAACATGACCACCGAACGTCCGACGGAGAGTTGAGTGTTGGACAATCTGGGTGACCACACCCAGGGTCTCATGATCATTGCAGGCGAGTTTGACATGGCTGCCTTGAGTCGAGTCCATGTTGGTGTGCGACCAAGAGGATAGTCCTCCAGTTCAGACTCGGTGCTTTGCCATACATTAGTTCTGCTCACTGCCCGGTCCCTTTGAGCCTTTGCATTGACTCCCATGAGGGCCAGTACATGCACGTCGTCGATTTGCTGCACCTCAGTCAGGCATGTGTCGCTATTGATGTCGAAGTCGTGTAAGAAAAACATTCCTGCAGTTTCGAGGATGTTTCTGTACTCGAGTAGGGCAAGAGATTCACGGATGTGAGAGTCGTAGATGATAGGAGTTGATGTTGTAGAGCGAAGCATGTGGTTGAGCACTCCAGTGAGAACGCCAAGATTCGGTGGATTCTTTCTGACAATGGATATCTGGGTCCTCTGAATCTCCCGCACCCGTCTCCTCAGAAGCTCGAACCAGATCTTGGATGGAATCCACAGGACTGGATCTGATTTCAGGTATTCTCTGGCCTGCATGATGAGAATCGCCCAAGTCATTCTATAGTCGACGACAATTGGAGTGTGTGTCACTGACCTTTTCTTCCACATTTTCCAGGATGATTCTGGCTGCATGTCCGCTCACCCTATACTCATCCCTGACACCATATGTTTTCTCCTTGCAACCCTCGACGACCTTGGCGATTTCGGTGCATTCAGCCATATATGATGGGGACAGCTTATAGGCGTCGCTGTCGGATGCGAAATTCGCTTGGTTGCTGTTTGTTCGAATCGACTCATAGTACAGGTTGTAGGTGCTCCTGAATGCGATGTGCGTCTGCTGAGATCTCTCCTGTTGCATCTCGGCCTGCAGCGCCCCATATCTAGACAGCGTGTTGTGATGATGTATCTCCCCTCTTTTGTAGCCTCCCGCTCCAAATGATGCTTCCAGTGCATCTAAGCGCCACACCCCTACGAGTGGGACATTTGGAGAGTGGGGCGTGAATGAGACACCCACATCTACCAGCAGTTCGCCATGCCTCCTGTTCATCATATATTGCCAGTCAAGGTCAGGCAGGTTGCGACGCAGGGCCTCTTCTGGTCCTGAGAAACGCCCCCTCTGGCCATCCTTCGTGAGCAGCTTGATTCCCTTTCCTTCCAGAATAAAGAAAGACGACCCATACATGCTGAGCTCAGGTCCTCCATCACGTATGCGAGCTTCCATGCGTTTCTGCACGTCACAAAAGTCATCGTCTGAGAGGGGGATGGTTTTAGGAGGTCCCCATCCGCCCCTTCTCCCGTCCGCACCTCTGGCCTTGTAACGTGCTTCCTCCAATGTGTGTTTCAGGTAGGGCTCCCAGCTGACGTCGGTGCACTGTCCAATCGATGGAAGCAGTACCCTATCCCAGAATATGTCCAAGACCTCCTTTGGCATCAGAGTGATTCTCCGACCGTTCGTTGGGTGCTGATGAATCATCCTTGGGAACGCGATGTATAGATTGAGTGTCGATGATGCTGATGATATGCGGCCCATACAGACATGAGGGATGGCAGACATAGGAAATCGTTTGGAGAGCCATTCAGTCCTCCCACCGGGTGAATTTGCATCCTGTTCCGACTGCGGTATGGTGATCTCTACATAGGTGTGATTGTGCTTGTATATGCCTGGTTTCGTTTGGAAAGGCGGAACGATGTAGACACCAACAGACCCTTTGCATCGGAACACCTTTGTTGTCCATATGATGCTGTCTATGTCCACTGAGATCTCTATCTCGTCTTCTGAGAGTGAAACAGCATCTCGTTCGAGATCAACATATAAGGCAGGACCATCGCCATACCGATGACTGGTGCAGCCCCGCACAAAGGCATTGTGTCCGAACCTGCATTCATCCTGCAGTGGGGGATCATATTGGGCGGATTCGACGAGCTCAGATGCGGAGAGTATTTCTACATCAGTGATGTATGTGCACTGTTCGTCGTGATCAGTTCCCCGTCGCTTCAGGCTATATGCACCTGTCACACGATCAGGAACTTGGTCCGAAGGATCATGGGAGTCTGTTGTTCCGATAGGCATGATGTGGTCCATGGTTGCTGTGGGGTCGCATTGATAGAAAATGTGGAATGAACTTGGTGTGATGCGATAGCCGCAATCGACCCAGTCTAACCAAGCGGTGGAGATCTGCATCCCCCCAGCAGGGAATGTCATCGTCGTATGGATATCCCTAGGAGTCAGCATCATCTCAATGGTAGGTCCGCCCTCATATTCATCGAATCCATGGTCGTCTGGCAGCCATCTCCTACCTCCGTATGCAGCCAATGGAATTGGTGCGGTTGGACGTGGAAATCGTCTGTTGCTTCCAAGATACCAGTTTTTCACTCGCCTCCGAGATGTTGTGGCAGCTACAGTGCGTTGAGAGTCCTCGGTATCATGGACGACCGATGGTAATTCTGGCTCGAGTTGAAGGTGTGTTCCAATGGCACGAGGGACTATTGAATTGCGATTCCGAGATCCAGCGAGGTGTTTGTTTGCTTTGAACAGCTTGTCAAGGTGCGCCTTGCCAATTGCATGTACCATATTCGTGGCGTCATCATCCTCACTTGATCCTGCATCTGGACCATCTTGCTCAGCATTGGTGCTATCTCCATTCTCACCACTGTACGAGGCATGCTCTCCATCTTGATGGACGATGGGGCGTTGACACATGGAGCAGGTGGCGCTCACAACAGTCAGCCTCCGCAGGACCTTCAGGCAATCAGCCTGGTATCGCCCATTCTGGATCGAATTGATGATGTCCTCGTCGGGTAGCTCGTCGTCTTTCCAATCATCTCGTGGGCTGTCTAGGAGCATCAGGTAGTTGCTGCAACAGAGCTTGACATGCGCAGCAATAGCGCGCAGCATGTGAACCCGCAGTTTGTGACCGCATTGGATCTCAAAGTCGGGTAAGTTGCCCTGCTCATCCAAACCCAGCTTCAGACATTGCGCCAGCACGGAGCAAGCGATGGGACCACAGTCGACCCCATTTTGCTCCCAGTCCATTGGGTTGATGGACACGTCTGAGACATCTCCTGTGCTCCATCCATGAAGGGCTCCGATTTTCCTCCAATATTCCGGACCTCTCCAATCGTTCCAGTCATGTGGATCCTCTCCGTCTACATCCATTGAATCCGCAGAAATATGGCGACCCAAGACGTGCGCCATGCGTCGCTCATAGTCGAATATGACCACGAAGAAATGGTTGGAATGATGCACTATGAATCCGACAGGGGCCATGGCACAATTACCGTCATGGGGCACAAAATGGTTCCGCCGGAAGTGCTCCAGTTCTTCATCCTCGATTTCATTTGCCCTCACTGCATTCCAGTCCACATATCTCATGTGTGTTCTGCCCAGCATCTCATACCACACATGGGACAAGTAAAAATTGGCGACTGCTGCTTCGAGCCACTCGTTTAATCCAAGGGTCGTCCAGCTATGCAGCACAGACAGCCAGACACCCGGCTGCGCCATTGCACGAGCTGTTAGTTGGTAGCATGAGTGACTCCAGGTCTATCATTTTATACTCTGAACTCCACTCACAGGCGATTTCCTGCTCAGTAAGTGCAGCCAATGTAGGTGCAGGCGCTTCAGGCGAGTGTGTCCTGAACTCGTGTTGCGGTGGGGGCGTGGGTCTATAGTCATGATCAAGCGTTCCTCCGATCGACTGTGATCTCCCTGATATACAAATAAATGGTTCAGCCTGCTCACACAACCATGGTACCTTGACGGTCAATGCTTACATCTCACTTTCTTATTGTGTGCATCATCCTCATTTTGTAGTTGGATGATGTTTGAAGAAACTTCGTGGATTACATGTGTCCTGGGCGCTGGAAATAGAATATATTATAACATCTTCGACAGAGACTTTGAGATCGACCAACCATTGACTTCTGTATGTCTAACACCTTTTTTAGGACGTCCGCGAGCACGTCGAGTTGATGGCTGTTCCCTGACTTCCCTGCTCTCCATCTCCGCCCCATTGAAATTGAGACTCGGGAATTCGGCTTCTGCTGGTTGGTTGTCCACATTGCATGTATCGACAGGGACTACAGTGCTGATACCACCGTGACCCCCATCAATAGTTTCCTGCTGGCATGGATTACTTGTCGCCCGGATGATATGTCTGACACTTCTATCATGATTGAAAGTTAATGTCTTGTGCGTGCTGCCTGTGGTCAAGTATCATTTCAATGAAAATAGAGTTGTGGTGCTGGGACTGACGACATGAAATCCCTTTCTTGGATGGTCGTCCGCGTGCCCTGCGTGGTTTGCTCTCTTGTGTATCATTCTCCTTCTCAGCTATTCTGGAGCTTTCCATCGCTGTCGATTGTTCCTCGCAATGTGGATCGGTATGTTGCCGATGAGCTGGGTTATTCTTTGCGGTCCATGCTTCCTGCGGATTCCAATCCAGGATGCCAGAGTTCAGAATTTCCTGTAGCATATTGATGCTCCCCTCCTCCCCATGCTCCTCATCCTCTTGAATTAAATCATGTGTATTACTTATCATTTCATCAATGGGAACACAGTACACCACATCCACTTGTGCTGGGATATGGTCAGGCACTGGACTTGTGGTAGCACGAATGACACGCTTTCCAGACACATTCTGAACAGTATCGATAGTTGATGTGTCCTCCTGAGCGCTCGCAACGCCTGGCATCTGCTTGCCACCTGAAATCTAGTGTCATGTCTATGTAAATAGGGGTCAAATAGATGTACCCACGGCGCTGCACCACTCGCTTTTTTGGCCTCCCTCGTCGTCCTTTAGTTGCCTCGACATGATTCCCGCTCGACTCTACGATTTTACAATTATCTATGGCTGCTGACAGTCCTCCAAGATCGTCATCAGTATTCCATCCATCCTCCAAAGTAATTTCGGGTATGTATCCAATGGTTCCTGTAATCCTCGAGTGTTGTGGGTCCCAATCCAGAATCTTGGACTTCATGATTTCCAGTTGAATATCACTGATATAGTGTTCGTCCATCAGAATGTAGGTATGCGCTGTGCTTGAGGCTGAGCTCGCCCCACCCTCCCAGGGTCCATGTATTATATTCCCATTAATTTAGGGTCCTTGGCTTGATAGGCTCCGAGCTCAAGTTCCGTTGTATTAGGCTATTCGGTTAATGGAGCATTGGACCACAACGTGATTTGAGTAGGGTGGCAATACTCGGCATGACATAATATTATGCTGGTGGTTTTCCTGTTATGGATGATATTCTGATTTGATCGAGTGATGTATAAAGTACGGATCAAAATCTCCTTCGACACCAAGAGACCCATTTTGTAGGCACACTAGACCTCACTCACATCGTCCTGATGTCCCTCGCCTGCATTTCCGTCAGACCTTTGGTGATCAGCCATGTATCCCATTCAGAGAAGAGAAGAACATTGCCTCCTATGAGTGGTAATCATCCGAAGCTGGGCACACTCAGGCGATGTACATCATTGGAATGTATGTTCCACTGTGGCACCTGACATTAATATTTGTTTACCACCAAGTAACTCATCATTCACAGGGGTCTATGACACTGATGCACCATCTGATGGCTCGATCGACGAAGGCCGTTTGGTGATTCGAGTTGGGGATGAGTATGCGAACGTCTACATATTTATTGTGCAAAACTGACCTGCATCATTCAGTGTCTCCATATTTCCACTTGATGAACGTGCAGTACCGTCGAATGACGGAAGCCTCCCTACGATGTCATATTGGTATGGTAAGGTTTATGGAGATCTATTGGACGGCAGCCAAAAGGAATAAGACACAGGTGACCGAGACCACTATTCCTCTCCAAATCCGATATGATTACTCATGTGGTATGCGACAGGACGTGTGGCTTGACATACAGTGGTACTACAGGCGGGTTGACTTGGAGGATCAAGATGTGGAGTATGTTTTTCCGTCATGGAGACTTCACAGAACCATTGACAGTGTCTTCTTTATCCAGCCTTGCAGCTTGCCGTAGGTGACTATGAAACTTGTGTTGAGCGATCACAAGTCTGTCGTGGATATGCATTGCGTCGAAGGTGTGTTGTCAATTATCTCTGCCTGTCCAGACCATCCCAGTAATATTAATATGTTTCTATGCACTGAAGCTCACGCAGATATTGTTCGGTATGATGAGGGCGATCTATCCCAACCTCAAATACCGACTGCGACCCTATACCACCGGTGGAATATATCCATGCAATTCACAACGCGCAGGAATCTAGAACTGCAGCAAGTAAATATCGAAGTTAGTACCATTTCTGTCTGGTCGAGTTGATCAAGGTCATAATCTGTGTCACAGAATTCGCAGGTCTCCACGAATTGCGGTTGCAACTCCTGTGATATCCCATTTTCTTCCCCCAATCACCTGCAACGATACTGCAGGTCTTGTTGCCGGTGGTTCAACGAGGCATGTATGTCAGCACTTGGCCACAGGATGAGTAGGAACACAAAGGCACGCCTGCCATCTCCCTACAACGCCGTCAGATTTGATGAAGAGTTTCTCGCCCTTATGACAACACCGATTCGAAGGGGGGGACACTGTGGGGTAGTTGGAAATGGTATACTTGTCATCCAGGTCAGAGCACTCATGGAACAGGCTGTAAAGGTGGGTACACTTCCCGATGGATGGATGGACGACCTTCGGCCCACAGTGCAGACATCTCCTAACGAGATTATTCGACGATACTCCTGCCCCACATGCAAAGGGATGGTAATATAGTAGTAGTTCAATTCTGTCATGTCTCTTACTCTACTCCACGTAGATGGTATTCCTTGGCTTACAAAATGTTAGATACAATGCTATCTACTGTCGGTTTAGCGGCCCACATCAATGCTGAGCGTATGCCTGGGTGTTCGTCCATTTAGTAATGTCAGGGTCACAAGGTTTGACATAGGTCCATGGGGCAATTGGGGTTATTTCACAATATGTCATTGGTGTATTTGGCCTAGGCGCGGGCTCTTTGATTCCAGGCTTGTGAGTCATGAAAAAATCGTGTTGCCAGCCGAACGACCTGTAAAATGAGGGCGGCCATGTGTGACCAACACTAACACCGCTGTTGCATGCACAGCAGTGTTGCATACAGGCCAGCTGGGGAGTATAATTGGATCTTATTATCAGCAGCCCAATGATACAGTCAGACAGTACCTGTATTTATATTGCATATGAAAGTGGGTCTTAATCTCCCATACACCAGTACACGATGGACGAACAGCCCATACCGCTAATTTCATAAACAATTGGATTTGATTAGCACAGCACCGGATCATGGTTTTGAAAATTTGACATCACATGCATATGGCTGTGTGGAGCCGAGTTACAAGCTTGAGGCACCCGAGATATTACAAGTACTGAGGCGGAACTGGTGGACCTGCAAGCGGGCACATTCCTTTCCATGAATCCGTTGTGTCACATTCGTCAATGGAGTCCAGAGGAGATCGGTCGACTACTGAAAGTCAAAGGAACAATTCAAGATGTGGATGGATTGTGTTCGTTCAAGGTGTCCAGCCGACCTCGCAAGTCCTGTGACGTTGCTGCACACTATCGCATTCCTCTTCATGCGCTGAACAAGAAATTTGGCCTGTATAGGAAGATTGTGGAACACCTCAGTGCTTCATCCCATTTTAACGCTGCCCAGATGCGTGATGTTTATGCCTCAATCATGGACTACATGAATGAAGTTCGCATTGCATTCCTGGAAGACGCTGCAGGGTCCCTAGATGCATTACATGGTCGCTTTAGATCCCCGGCGCTCGATTACTATCTCTGGTTGGATCATACATGCAGTGGCTTTGATTCCCAGTATCGTAAAGTCCTACAAGAGACTCATGGAGTTACATTTGAGTGTATACGGGATTCAACATGCTCTGATATACTTATGTTTCGTGCGTGTCCTTGTATTATCAATATAACTCGTACTGATCCGCTAATCAGTCGATTGGCGTGCATATCATAACAAACACTGTGAGGAGCATGACTGCTGTGGTGCGCTGCAGGGTTGTGGTACCGGCGAAGACGTCCAGCAGTTGCTTGCCGCAGTCGATTCCTCTCTCAATGCTTCCAATGCTCCAGTAGAACATGGAGCTGGTACGGATACCACCTGCACGACGCATCCAGGCGATACTGCTGCCCCAGTGGCGACTCAATCACACTGCGTTGATTCGGTGCGTGCCTCGTGTATCTAAACAGTGTACTAGCTTATGCAGATCCTGTGTCTTCAGAAGGACTCCTTTCCAAAATATCCATTGCCCTTCAACGATAACGACCGAATGCTGGCTTTAAGTACACTTTCTGGGGGAGCACGCAAGTTGATCATTGGTGGATTTGGGCGATGGCTGCCCAGTCACATTGCGATGCGGTTTCGAGAGATGCAAGGATTGCATCATTACGACCCTATGAAGGGTCTCTGGGAGCATGGCATGCTGTTCACATCACGAAATAATGAAGAGTTCTTCGAGTTTTTGGAATGGC